AGCCAACCCCAAACCCCCAAATCTGAGCTTGTCATCACCACACCAGAGTGCCTGATTGACAGTGGCCTTCTTTATAGGCTACCTGTCAACTGAATGAATTACTTACTGGCTCTTCCCTGGTGATAAGGAAAGAAAATGAGACCACCTCTACCTCACTGCCTCCATTCCCACAGCTGGGGTAGGAGAGAGTGTGCGTGCGCCAGGGGGATGGGGCAAATGGACACACAGGCTGCCACAGTTTTTGAGTCTGTTTTCTCATCTGCAAGACAGGAGCAGAACAGTGCCTTGCCAGAGATTGAAAAGGGGTAATGCACACAGAGCCCCCAGCATAGCATCTATCACAGAGCCTGCCCTTGACAAATAGAGTGTTCCTGTTAGCATCATTGTCATTGCTTGTAGGGAGTTTTTTGAGGTTGTACATGGCTGGCTACTTTTTAGTTTTTATTTTATTTTTTGAGACAGAGTTTCTCTCTGTCACCCAGGTTGGAGTGCAGTGGCGCAATCTCAGCTCACTGCAACCTCTGCCTCCTGGGTTCAAGCGATTCTTGTGCCTCAGCCTCCCAAAGTGCTGGTGTGGGCCACCACTCCCGGCTCTTTTTACTTTTTAAAAATTACTTACTGAAGTCGAATATACATAGAGAAAAGTATAGGTATCCTAAGTGTACAGATCGCTGAATTTTCACATACCAAATGCTAAATGCATGTGTGTAACCAGCACCCAGATCAAGAAACAGAAAGTGATCAGCTCCCTAGAAGTTACCTTCCCCCTTCCTTCCAGTGCCCACCCCCACCAAGGATGTCTAACAGCTTGGATTAGCATCACCTGCTTTTTTGGGACCTTGCTATAAATGGAATGACACTGTATGAACTACAGTACCTGGTTTCTTTTCTTTTCTCTTTTTTCTTTTCTCTCTCTTTTTTTTTTTTTTTTTGAGACGGAGTCTTGCTCCACTGCTCAGGCTGGAGTGCAGTGGCGCAATCTCGACTCACTGCAACCTCTGCCTCCTGGGTTCAAGCAATTCTCCTGTCTCAGTCTCCCAAGTAGCTGGGATTACAGGTGCCTGTCACCACACTTGGCTGATTTTTGTATTTTTCATAGAGACAGGGTTTCACCATGTTGGCCTGGCTGGTCTCGAACTCCTGGCCTCAGGTGATCCACCTGCTTCAGCCTCCCAAAGTGCTGAGATTACAGGCATGTATCTGGTTTCTTTCTCTCACTGTTATGTTTGAGAAATTGCTCCAGGCTGTGGCATGTCCACTCTCACTGCTGTATAGTATTCCTCTGTGTGGACATGCCACTATTTATTCATGCTATTATTGATGGGCACATGGAGGTTGTTTCCAGCTTGGGGCTTTTAAAAAGAGCAATTTTCAGATAGTAGGCAATTCTCAGGAAAGAATATTTATGGGTAGGAGGTGTGGGACAGAGTGAGCTTTGAAGTCTGTCATCCTAAATCCACTATTTTCTATGTAGTTCAAATGAGCAGCTCTTATCTTTAAAGGCAGGCAGATTCATGTCTTTGGGTTCCTGCCCCTAAAAAGCTGTGGATCAAATCACCTCCTGCATTCCGAATCTCTCATGGTGTCTTGTACAGATGAAGTGTGAGGAACTGTTAGGAAAGATGCAGAGGGAGGAGTGCTGGCTTTAATCTGGTCCTGGGGCAACCATAGGCAACCAACTTTCTCTTCCTCTCTGAAATGGGGGTCTGATAGGGAAATGTGGCAGTTCTGTGAGAGTGCCCGGGTATAAGAAAAGTTTGCTAAACCTTATTGTTGACTATGAATCAGACTGAGACACTGAGCTCAGTGGGGTTAGCTGTAAAGCTCAGCACCCTGTGCTAACCCAGATGACTTCTTAGGGACACTGACATCTGCATAGCAGCAAAGCCACGTTGGAGGTCTGGTTTTGTGGACACAGAGGTTAAAGTAGCAGCTACAGTTTAGTCTGGCAAGTTCCACAAGAATGCCCTGTCACTTCCCCGGAATGTGGGCTTCATCTCTTATTATTTTTAGGGATGCTGTCCATCCCCTTGGATGCATGCTCCATGCTTTGGCAGAGCCTGTTCTCTCACATCACAACTCTCAAACTCATCTGTGAGTGATGAGCTGAGTGTCCTGCAGCTCTAGGAAGTCATATCTTAGATTAAAAAACAAAACTCCAAGGAAGGAACAGCAGCATGGACGACATGGAGAGGCAAGAAGCACTGATGATCAGGTCCCGTCGTCACCACCAATGAGCCGGGTGATCCTGGTTAAGCCCCTACACCTTTCTAAACAACTTTTCTCTCCATCCTCTTGTTTCCATCCCAGGTACTTCCTGGCTCACATCTCGTCTTCTCTCACCAGCACTATTACAGGAGGCTCGGAAAGGCCTCCTTGCTGTTAGAGTTGTTTTTCTAAGGCACAGGTCTCATCACATCACTTTTTGGTTTACAGTGTCCATGATTTTCCTTCAGGCTAAGCATCTAATTCAGGACACCAGGGCCTTCATTCTCTGGTCTCCTTCCTGCCTTTCCAGCTGCTCCCAGGACACATATTTACATTCTAGCCAGGTAGAGATCTCTCCTCTGTGAGACTGGTGGTCCCCAGCCTCTCTGCAGGCTCCTCTTGCCTCCTGGAATGCCCTTCCATCCTTGTCCATCTGACAAGCTCATTATTGCTCATCTAAAAATGCTCATACTTGACCAGTCTGGCCAACATGGTGAAACCTCATCTCTACTAAAAATACAAAAATCAGCCAGGAGTGATGGCATATGTCTGTAGTCCTAGCTACTCGGGAGGCTGAGGCAGGAGAATCGCTTGAATCCAGGAGGCGGAGGTTGCAGTGAGTCAAGATGGCGCCACTGCACTCCAGCCTGAGTGAAAGAGCAAGACTCTGTCTTAAAAAAATAAAAAATTAAAAAAAAATAAAAATGTTCATACCCTTTCATCCATTAATTCTGTACTTGAAAACTTTACTCAAAGGAGAGAAACATAAAATATGGAAATAGTTTTATGCTCAAAGATGTTCACTGTAGAATTATTTATATTGGTGCTGAATTAGCAATATCCTAAGTGTCTAACATCAGGGCAATAAATAAATAAACTATGGTCAATCACAAAATAGAATATCACAGAACTATTAAAAATGATGACAGTAAAGTTGGCTGTTAGAGCATAATTTTCAAAAAGTTAAAAACATGATTCTCATACAAATATACAGTGAATACATGGCAAAGATTTATTTAATTTGTTATTGAGGAAGTCAGCAGGGTGGCAGAGCTAGTTTTATAAAGACCAGAAAAAAATATGTAGTCACAGGAAAAAAATTACTGAAATCAGATTACTAAATCAAATACAAAACTGGCTAAAACCCTACAAGGCAGTAAACTCTAACCTTTGGGATATTTTCAGTCAAATAGAAATCATTTTTGTCTTTACTGGAAAGAGTCATTTATAAATTATCAGCCTTCTATAAGTTAATATGTAACTTCACAGAATTTGGGCCCTGGAGGGATAGGCAGGCCTGCAGACCAGTGCTTCTCAAATTTTATTGTGTGTAAGAATCACAGGAGGAACTCTGTTAAAATGTAGATTCTGAATTAGAGTCTAGAGTGGGGCCTGAGAGCCTAGATTTCAAATAATCTCCCCTATGATGCTGATGCTGCTGGTCCGTGGACCACACTTTGAGTAGAAAGCGGCGAGGGGATGCTCCAGTATGACACTGAAAGGATACGTAATCATTTTTTCACCTGATTGCCAAATTTTAGAGACTTTTGAAAACATAGTAATAATGTGGGAAAATGATGTTTATTATGCTAAGTTAAAAAATCAGAAGACGCTGGCTCACGCCTATAATCCCAGCACTCTGGGAGGCCAGGGTGGGAGGGTTGCTTGAGCCTAGGAGTTCAAGATGAGCCTGGGTAACATAGTGAGACCTTGTCTCTACAAAAACACAGAAATTAGCTGACCATGGTGGCGTGCACCTGTCATCCCAGCTACTTGGGAGGCTGAGGCAGGAGGATCATTTGAGCATGGGATATCGAGGCTGCAGTGAGTGGTAACTGTGCCACTGCACTCCAGCCTGGGTGACAGAGCAAGACCTGGTCTAAACTAAACTAAACTAAACAAATAAAATAAAATAAATAGGTTGGGTGTGGTGGATCACACCTGTAATTCCAGCACTTTGGGAGGCCAAGGAGGGTGAATCACTTGAGGCCAGGAGTTCAAGCCAGCCTGGCCAACATGGTGAAACCCCCCATCTCTACAAAATACACAAAAATTAGCCATGTGTGGTGGTGCATGCCTGTAATCCCAGCTTCTTGGGAGGCTGAGGCAGAGAATCACTTGAATCTAGGAGGTGAAGGCTGCAGTGAGCTGAGATTGTGCCACTGCACTCCAATCTGAGCGACACAGCGAGACTGTTTCAAAAAAAAATTAAAAAATAAAAAATGAGATTATCTAAAACATGGAAGACTTCAGCTTTGCAGAAATATAGTAGGAATTCTTTAAAGTAAATAGATGTGTTTTGATATTATGAATATTATTTCTCTTTTCTACTTTTTACTATTTTTTAAATTGAGCATTTTAAAGGCAAGTAAAACCACTTTATTTTTTTAAAGGACAGACTCTGCTCCAATATTGCCTTTCCCAAGAAGTCTGCCTTGCTCCCCATCTTCAGCAGAATTAATCATTCTCTGAGCTCTTGGAAACATAGTAATTTTCAACCTACTGTAGCATCCCAATGTATGTAAGTGGAGCTTCTTAGGTAGGCAGCTAGAACCCAGCTTACTCAGCCCCCATTTGTTTTTATTTTTTGGAGACAGGGTCTCACTCTATTGCTTAGACTGGAGTGAAGTGGCACAATCTTGGCTTACTATAGCCTCAATCTTCTGGGCTCAAGTGATTCTCCCACCTCAGCCTCCCAAGTAGCTGGGACTACAGGCACACACCACCACACCCAACTAATTATTATTATTATTTTTTTGTAGAGATAGGATTTTGCCATGTTGCCCAGGTTGGTCTTGAACTTCTGGACTGAAGTTATCTGTGTGCCTCAGCCTCCCAAAGTTCTGGGATTACAGGTGTGAGCCACTGCACATGGCCCAGCCCCTCTTTCTAAGCCCTGTTCCTCCCTAACCTGGTCTCAGCGGCCCCTAAACCAACTCAAGGGAACCCATGGCTCCAACAAAACAGAGTTTTAAAACCACAGTTGGATACTTCATAGTCCCAGTTCTAGGTACTTCTCACTCTCTAAGGTAATGATGAATCTTCCTGTCTATGGACTCCAGTAAACTGAATTTGTATACAATAAAGACGTAAATGCATGCATTCCTGTTACCTGAACCAAGGTATTGATTCATTATATGATTCATGAATATATAAATTAATACATTCAACATCATTTCTGCTATAAAATCAGATGAAGTGTGAACACGACTTAGTCTGCAACAAAAGAGATGGTAGGATTTGAAGCTGGAGTCTCTGAGTGTAATTATTTTCCCTCTCCTTCAAAAATATACTTGCAAATGTTGCATGTTACATCCTTTGGGGGAGTCCTGGCCATCCATCCATCCATCCATCTGCCCATCCACCACCTGTCAATCTGTCCATCTACTCTGTTTGTCCGTCCGTCCGTCTGTCCATCCATCCATCCATCCATCCATCCATCCATCCATCCATCCAACAAATGTGTTTGTAGTATCTTCTATGTGCTAGACATTGTGGAAATTCATTGATGAATAAAACAGGCAGTCTTTGCCCTCACAGTGCTTCCAGCTTCTAGAGACTACTAACCAATTAGACAAATAAATGCACCATTATAACCGTGAAAGTGCTACAAAGGAGAAGTTCATGATGATAAAAGATCCTCATGATAGAGGCATGGGACTGAACAGAGTTCCCTGAGGAGCCATTTGAGCTGAAGGTGAAAGGACAAGCAGAAGTTAACCAGCTAAACAAGGGAGGGAAGATCATTCCAAGGAAAGGGAACATGATGTGCAACCCCCCTTTGGCATGAGTGAATTTGGCAAGGGTGAGACACTGCCATCAGCCAGTGGACTGGAGCCAACAGGATGAACAAGAAGCCACAGGAAGATGTTCATGATATGCTTGGACAGACAGGAGCTGGAGGCCGCAGTAAGATCTCCATGCTTTACCTTAAGAGGAATGGGAAGCCACTGGAAGTTTTGAGCAGGGAAGTGATGTGATTTGCATTTTGCAAAGTACACTGCAAAATGAATCTAGATCAGAAGAGATAACTGCATGTGGGAGTACAAGGAAAAAGCAGCCCCCGTGAGAGGGTTGCAGGGGAAATGGTTTCACCAGGTTAGATCCATGGTTTCAATAAGAGAGAAAGTGGTGTGAAAGGAGAAGACTGACTGAGAAGTCTGCTGGTTTTGGGGGAGTGGCTGTGAGGGTCATAGCACGCTGAGCTGGGGAAGGCAGGAGCTCTGGCCAGTGAAGGGATGGTTGATGGCCTGGTGCGGACCCTGGCTGGAGGGCTCACACACTGGATGCTGACCAACAAAACAGACGAAAATGAGGAGTATGAGGATCTGTCTCAAGGTGGCCTCTGAGGAGGGCAAACAGGCCTTCGAGGCAGGTCCAGACACTGGCACCCTGCCTGCTGCTGTACAGTTTAATGCACCTGAGGTTGGCAAGCTGGTGTCAGGGAGTGGCCAGAAGCCAGCTTCCAGTTTGAGGCAGTGGGTGAACCTAAATCACACTATTTGATTCACTTCTGTGTTTCTGGAAACTTTCATGTTCTGATCAATGCAAATATGCCTACTGTAACAGCTGGCAATGCCCATGTCTCCACAAGGCCTGAGAATATGACCACAATGGCTGTACATCTTGCCCAGGCTTCTGCTGGATGGAGAGCTTCTAGAGATGGGGGACAGCTCGGTCAATATCATCCAAGAGGAGGTTCAGCTCCAGACCTAGACCAGCTAAAGATCAATGACAAGGGCAAGATGCTCTCTGCTGCCAACATCACACACTTGTCTCAACAGAAGGAAGGAATTTATGTAAAATAAGAAGTGGAAAGAGAAGAACATCTGTGACAGTGAGATGACATTTCCACCTGCTTCTGATTCCATCTAATAGCCAGTGGAGGTATGGGGGAGAGAGGAGGGAGACAGGGTGGTTGGGGCTGGAAGAAATGTTTTCAGCAGAACCATGCCTCAGATGGCTCTCAGAACTCAGCCTAGAAAGCAAGCCAGTTCAGAGGCACAGGGAGACTTACAGAGGTGACATAAATGAACAAAAAATAAACTGTGCATTTGGCAAGAGTGGCACTGTAAGTGTGTGCTGTGATGAACACAGATATTAAACATGCCCTGTGCCTGCCAGGTGTCACGTTTCCGAAATCCCTTGCTCTGTCAGAATTTGCAGAGGAATGAGCTGGGCTCTGCTAATTTCTGTTATTGGTAACAGATCACATTTGTAGAGTACTTACGATGCGCCAGGCACCATGTTGAGAGGTTTCCGATCTACTACTCCCCATAATCCTCACATTGCTCTTTAGAGAGAGAGGAGATGGAGCTCATTTACCTGAAGCGATGGAGAATTTTCCCCTTGACTGCACATCTGTGCATCTGGTTAAGGATCAGAACACAATGGGAAGAGTTCCAAAGCCAACTGACCACCAAATAGTCTGAGCATGATGTGCTCCTGAGGCCCTTAGAGCCAAGGGTCACTCCTAAAACAGAAGATCAGCTGTCTACCACCCAGGAATGCGATTCCTCCCACCTGCTCTGTGTGTGGGCTCTGGGCTACGGGACAGCACAAGCCAGAGAGGCAAGGGGTCAAGGGAGACTCAGGGCTCGCCAACAGGCAGAGCTGTGGCCAGAACTGGCTCTTTCACTGACCAGCTGTGGGACATCCGGCAGGTTTCTTCACTCCCAGAGCCTTCATTTCGTCAACAGAAAATGGAAGTCATAGTGCCTAGTTCACAGGGGCAATGTCAGAGTCACAGGAGGTAATTTTAGCACATGCCCAGCACTTCACAGGAACTGGGCAGATTCGACCACACCTCACACAATGAGGTCTTTCATCTTAAGGGGACAGAGACACACACACTGAGCAGAGCACCCAGGCTTCAAGTGGAGAACATTTCCATCTGTGGCCAAGACTCGGTTCTCTGCCCAGATCCTCTCAGGTCCCCTCTCTTGCTTCGGCCTGCACAGCCCCCAAGTTTTTCATGCCTTCACTTCTAGAGGCTGCCTTACTTTTAGAGGGTAGAGTGCCTTGGGGTTACTACCTCTGGAGCAGCCCCAACCAATGACTGGCAGATACAGGAGTGTGAGAGCCCAGCTCCCCTGCTTCCAGGTAGGACCAACTCCGAGGTCAGGATCAGGATGAGGCTAAGATGGTCCCTGAAATCTCACTCTTGCTTCCCTTCTCCTCTTTCCTATCCTGTCCCATTTATTTCCAGTCTCATTAGGAGCACCTCTCTAACTAAACTAGTTACATGATGCCCTCATTTCAGGGTCTGCTTCTTGAGAATCCAGCCCAAGATACCATCTGACTTCATCTTGAATGCCTGATCCTCCTTGTCCACGTGGGAAATTCCTTCAATACTTGTTCAGGGGTCACTCCTTCTGTGAAGCCTGTCTTGACCTCTTTAGTACAGATACTCTGGGCACATATGCATACAGTGCTGCAGGGGTGTGTGTGTGTGTGCACGTGTGTGTATATGTGTGTTGACCTGTTTGGGGCTGTGGAAGTCTTGAGGGTAAAAATTTCATTTTGTTCATAGTTATTGGGGGTATAACTAGTCTCTAGTGAAAGCCTCTGATGAACTGGGTAACCTTCTGAAAATACAACTTTCCATAGCAGTGGCTTCTTTAGGGCCCAGGGGTCCAGTGAGCGGGTATGGAAGCCACCAGGAGGGAGTTCCAGGAACCTAACCCCTGAGTCAACCAAAGCACATTTCAATTTAGAAATGGGTTCTGTCGCCTAAAAATAATGATGATGATGATAATCATGATGATGACTGGAAACTCTGATTTAGAGTAAACTGACCAGGACTTGAGGATTTGGGGAGAAAAAGGCTCATTTTTCATGTGGTTCATCTCCTTGGCCATCTCTTTATGCAATGACAGCCACTATCAACAGAGTGCCCCTGTGGATGTGCCGTGCAAGAGGCTTTGCATCGAGAAGACACTGGATCCCTCCCAGTCCTCCAGGATACGCATTCCTTACATGTGACGGGCACCGGTCACTGCACCTTCAATGAAATAGACATACTGTCCACTTGCTCTGTCTCCTCTGCCACCCTGACCTCTTGCCAGGTGATAGTCACAGCCTTCTAACCAGCTCCTTATTTCCACCCTTGCCCCTACAACCCACCATCCACACAATGGCCTCTCATTTTTAAAGAACATACATTGGATCATGCCATTCCCTGCTCCAAACAGAAGCTTTCAATGGCTTTCCTTTGTAACGGCCCAGTGGTGTTACCTGGGGTGGACCCTGCCTAGGTCCACCGTGGTTCTCTTCACTGCTCACCAGCTTCCTGCTACCTGGTTTTTCTGTGCCTTGAAGAGGCCAAGCCTTCTGGGGCTCCATACAACTCTCCTCCCCAACTGGGACACTCTTCCTCACGCTTGGCAAGTGAATTCCTTCTCATCCGCCAGTCTCAGCTTCCCTGGAGAAACATTCCTTGACCCCCAATCTAAAGCAGGCTACTCCCTGGGGACTAACCTCAACTAGAAATAGAATCCTTGTTTGCGTCCTTGCTGACTGCTGCCTCCTCGGCCAACTCCGGGAGGGCAGGCCAGGGATCATGTCTCTTTTGTTACCCATCGAGTCTCCAGTGCCTAGCACAGTGCCTGGCTCTTAGCAAGCCCTCAATAAATATTCATCATACAAATAAGCAAATGATGACCATTAGAAAATACGACTCATGTGTTTGGCAAACTATACCGAGAGTTTTCTCAATTCTTGATGGTCAGAGCTTAATTCTCACATGTGGGGAGGTGGGTGAGAAGAACTGCCCACCACCCACTACTGATGGCATACGTTGGGGTGGTGTTGACCCTTCAACAACCCTCCTCTTCATCCTACATCTCAGCATAATGTGAGGTTCAAGGGGGAAAGATTATATTGTCATATGGAACATGATTGTAACTATAATTGGTCACATAAAGGATAAATAACAAGTCACAGTCTATTTCATGACAGTAAAAGCGGTAAACTTTGCCTCTAGAAGCAGTACACCAAAGGAATGGTAAGTGGCATTTTTTTGGAGTAATCTTGCTGGCCGTGTCGAAAGATGCCTCTCTGGTTGAGATACCAGGCTTGTATCTTTGGTGGGGAGTGTTAGGGAGTGGTGTGAAAGGGCAAGTCACATGTGGGCAGGACTGCAGAGGTGCTGTGCCACCCTAAGCAGCAGCTGTGCACCAGCCCTTCTTCTAGGAGCTTCATGCTGGCATCACTGAACCTTCTCAGCAACTCCAGGAAGTAGAAAGGTTTCTGCCTGACTCCAGAGCACAAGGTGAAGAGAAGCTAGGGACAGCTGTATCCAGTGTCCAGGACACCATGCCAGACCTCCTGCGCCTGGACATAGCCTATAGCCCTCAGGTTTCCGGATCCCTCTGATTTTCGGTCTGGTTTTCCAGTCTTCCAGTGCAATTCCGAGCACTTCCACTGGATAGCCTTCGAATCCATTCTGATTGTGCTGAAATGCGACAGAGCCAGTCTTTCCGGCTGGCACCGAAGACCTCAGTCTGGTGCACGCTCCACATGGCAGCCGCTTACGGACTCATCTGTGGACTTACAAGTTGATCATGTATTCTGCTATTTGAAAATATCAAGAAAATAGCAAGAATTCTTGCACGCTTCTCATACAGGAGTTTGAGAAGACGGGAGTTTGAGGGGATGTCTTGCAGTAACAGAGCTGATTCCATAAAGTCTTGATTTGCCTTGGGGGAGTTCCTGGCCTCAGATGATGGGGTCCTTTCCTCTTCTGTGGACCTCAGTAACCAATTCAGGGATCAGAGGAAGCGCCTTCACCCCTCAACATCATCTGATACCTTTTTATGGCTGCATGAAGAGAGATGAACATCTCCAGAGCCTACTCATTTTCTTTCTGAAGGCCTTCTCAGAGATAAATTCCTTTTCTTTCTGCAGGCCAGATTTCCAGGGCATGATTAACTACATTTCTCCGGTTCTTCATCTTTAGAGTTTCTGTGGGCCTCAAACAACACTTTCTGAATTTTCCCCTCTCACCCCCTACTCACTCCCTGAAAGGTAAATAGAGTTAGGTTGAAGATGTAATTCAACATGTACTTGGCACCTCGCAACCAGCACTTTGATTCTGCAGTCATGCCGGTCTCACGTGGCATTCTCAGGTTTGGGTCTGTACAGAGCCAGGTCCGGCGGTGGCTGATCCTAGACATATGCTAACACGCTCCCTGAGAAAGGCCCTGGAGCCAGTCATTAGTGAACTAGGCGGAGCCTCAAGAATCTATGCCATATTTCTAGTTATTCACCCAAATGCTCTGTAAAGCACAACTTGAACCATGGCATAAAAATAAAAGATATAAAGAATCATAGGACACGTGTGCACGCTCTGGGCGCCCCGGAGGTTTCCTGCGCCAGTGTTCCCATGTGTGGCGTAAACCTGAGGGCCTTATGTTATGAGAAGATGGGGGCTGCGGTGACTCACAGGATCAGGCATTTCAACCTAGAGAACCCAGCGGAATGGGAAATCAGCAAGATGAAGCCCTCTCCCGCTCCCAGGCAGTCCTCTACCAACAGCCTCCTGTGACAGCAGATTAGTCTCTACCCAGAAGGGAGAGACTGCTCGTAAAGGGGACAAGCTGCTGTCATTTCTAAAAGACGTGTATGTTGATTCCAAAGATCCCGTGTCTTCCGCGCAGGTAAAAGCTTCTGAAACAACACGTCAAGAGCCAAAGGAATTCAGACTGCTGAAAGGCCATCACTTCGGTATGATAAATATTAAGAGCATTCCCAAAGGCAAAATTTCCACTGTAGAAGCATTGACACTTCTCAATAATCATAAATTTTTTCCAGAAACATGGACTGCTGAGAAAATAGCACAAGAATACCATTTAGAACAGAAAGATGTGAATTTCCTTCTTAAATATTTTGTTACTTTTGAAGTCAAAATCTTCCCTCCTGAAGACAAGCAAGCAATACAATCAAATGAAGAAAATCACAAAAATTTCCTATGTGTACTCCTCATCCCTCATCCTGTATATTTTCTCATTTTTGGCATATTAAATTATGTTAATTACCAAGTGTTTAATGCTCTCATTGTGAGAGCATACTTTTTTTTTTTTTTTTTTTTTTTTTTTTGAGACAGAGTCTTGCTCAGTTGCCTAGGCTGGAGTGCAGTGGCGCAAACTCGGCTCACTGCAAGCTCCACCTTCTGGGTTCATGCCATTCTCCTGCCTCAGCCTCCCAAGTAGTGGGGACTACAGGCGCCTGCCACCACGCTCGGCTAATTTTTTTTTTTTTTTGTATTTTTTAGTAGAGATGGGGTTTCATCATGTTAGCCAGAGTGGTCTCGATCTCCTGACCTCGTGATCTGCCCGCGTTGGCCTCCCAAAGTGCTAGGATTACAGGCGTGAGCCACCGCGCCAGGTCGAGAGCATACTCTTAATATTTATTGAGCTCCCAGACTTTTCAAGATTGCCATAGAATGTATTTTGTTTTCTTTTAATTTGCTTTAGGCATATTTCATATGTACATGTCAGCATGTCTAATCAGCACATCTGTACTTTTATTATAAGTAAAAGAGTTAATTTGTTATTTTAGGCACATCATACCAACTCTTAAATTGGTCATATGACCCCTTGGGAAGTGTCCTGAATCCCTTATTTAAGTTTTACTTTCTTTTTTTTTTTTTGAGACGGAGTCTGGCTCTGTCACCCAGGCTGGAGTGCAGTGGCCGGATCTCTGCTCACCGCAAGCTCCTCCTCCCGGGTTTACGCCATTCTCCTGCCTCAGCCTCCCGAGTAGCTGGGACTACAGGCGCCCGCCACCTCGCCTGGCTAGTTTTTTGTATTTTTAGTAGAGACGGGGTTTCACCATGTTAGCCAGGATGGTCTCGATCTCCTGACCTCGTGATCCGCCCGTCTCGGCCTCCCAAAGTGCTGGGATTACAGGCTTGAGCCACCGCGCCCGGCTAAGTTTTACTTTCCAAGTTAGGTGTTTAGTTCATTCTTCATATGTGATAGTGAAAGTAAAAGCTTTCCTGACTTGTAAGACTGACGTTTTCTTGTTAGGGAAAGACACTCGACAGCATGGTAGACCAGCAGTATTTCCCAAATAAAGGCACACAGGAGAAAATAACAAATCAATAGAATCTAATTAAAATTACTACCCCGGGAATAAGAAGTATTGAGTATTTTATTTTGAATTGGTTTTAAGTATGGAATAATCATCTTTACAGTTATAAAAAAAATTAGTGATGTTTACAAAATGTTGGGAATTTCTGCTTTGACAAACAAATAGGTAAGTCCTGTGGCCTTCAGAGAGGCAGGCAGCAGTAGAAACTTTCAAAAAAGTAACATTTCTCTGGATTTAACATGGAAATAGAAAAAATTAAATATTAAATAAAAAAACCATGGTAAATGAAATTTGGTGATTATATATAGTTTCAGATGTTAACGCTAGTTGAGAGAAGAGAGAAAAAATATCAAGTAGAAGCAGAGGACAGGATCATTGGAAGGGACCTGAGAAATTGCCCCTTCATCCATTTTAGCACACTTTTTAGCGTGGTATGTACCAATACTAGGATCTTGAGTGAGAGGGTGTGAGTTTAGCTCTGCCTAATATATTACTGCTTGTGGGATCTTTGGGAGACTGTATCCTCTTTGAGATTGAACTTCTTCTATAAAATGAGCATAATACTACTTTACTTAAATTTAAGGGTCATCATGAAGATAAATGAAACAGTAAAGGACTACAAAGGACCAAGCAAATATGAATTATTTTTTGCAGTGGAGAAACAAGCACCTGGTGAGAATATATGACCTAAGGTTCTATAGTTTATGACCTAACCAGGCCCAGAAAGCAGTTTTTCAAATCCTAGTAGTGTGTTTTTTCTGTTGTGCCAAAAAACAGCACACCTCAGAGAAGGAAAAAAGTGTGAATTGTGGGTATATTGGGGTTATCAGTGTGCTTCTAAGGGAAGACAGACATCACTACTTCCCAGAGATGCCCCGGAATGATAGAGAAGATACTGAAGAATTCAACGTGATGATGGAATGAGGCATTTGTAGTAATGCTGAGAACAGAAAAATGGACTAAGTGGAAAATTTGTACACATGTCTTTGAATATAGATTTGTTATGTGAACAAACTACCTCGTTTATTTTTAGTTCAATACAATAATTGTTTTAAGAAAACGTGAAATAACTACTCAATATAAAATGTACTTTAAAACTCCTGTTTAAAAAAAATCACAGGAAAATTGCTTGATTTCTCAATCAGTTAAATTTACCACCATGCACACGTTATATGGTTAAAAATCTGATTGTTTTCCTCTCCACTCACACCCTGCTGGATGCCAATATAAGTACATTTCCTGTTCCTTCCAAGGCCATAACAATTTGGTGCCTAATCTAAAATCTTTGAAACTTTGCCTGATTTAAATTTGGTGGCGAGCCTTTATGGAAATTCCCCTTCAGACTGATGGTTAACAGAGGGCCAGGCATTCAGAAGAATCACGCAGGGAAGAACGTGTTTGTTCTAAAAAGGCAAACCTTCCTACTCAGAAAAGATTTTTTTTTTTTCCTGCCAGGAAAATTGAGAACAACAGATTGTAGAACTTCACTGTAGCTCATGGACGGAAAAGGCAAAGTCATGGAAAGGAGGGAAAAGGGGCATTGTGGGATTCTCATGTGTGTTAATTTTTTCTTGGGAGTGCTAAAAAAAACCTCAGCCTCTTCCCAAGAACTCTTGATAATGAAAATATCACCATAGTGCTCAAAATTGGAACAGTAATTAATGGAAGTGATATTTTGGGGAAGTACAGATAACTCGGAATCCAACGAGATGTTAAGCAACATTTTCCTGGATCCCACAGTCTAGTCCTATAATGGAAGGCAATATGCCCAGTACTTTTTTTTTTTTCATCTACACAAGGGATTCCACATGTAGAAAACCTGTTAGGTATTTCCATTAGCTTCTACTTATTAACACTGTGGTTTACCAGAACATTCTAAACCTCTCATGTTGGGCATGTATTTAATGCTATAAAACTGTTAAGCCAGAACTATGACAATGAGCAGGGAACCACTTTCCTCTTTCACTTCCCAGGTGGAGGTCTGAATTAGCAGTTAAATTGCCAGAAGGCAGGGAAGAAAAGGGAAACGCCAACTCCAAATATAGGACCTTCCAGAAAAACTGACCGTAAGTAGTAAGTGACCCAGCATCAATCCATTTGGTTTCTATTATTAAAATTAGTACCTGGCCTGAGCCGACAGGTAGAGGCTGCAGTGAGCCATGATTGCACCACTGCACTCCATCCTGGATGACAAAGCAAGACCCTGTCTCCAACAAACAAACAAACGAACAAAAATAGTGCTTGGACAACTTCTCTTGTGGGTAGAGCATAAAAGTCTACATGGAACACTTGTTCCCCTCACTGAGTAGGGAATGCCCACCCCTCACTCATTCAGGAATTCATATTCATCCCAGGCTCACTGATGTTATCACCTCTTACTCACTAAAAATGGGCAGGACTGAAGTTTTACTGAGGTCCCTAAGCATCATTATTATTATTGTTTTTTTTTTGTTTCTTTGTGTTTTGAGACGGAGTTTCACTCTGTCGCCCAGGTTGGAGCGCAGTGGCACAATCTCGGCTCACTGCAACCTCCACCTCCTGGTTTCAAGTGATGCTCCAGCCTCAGTTCCTGAGTAGCTAGGTTTACAAGAGCCCATCACCACGGCCAGCTAATTTATATATTTTTTAGTAGAGACAGGGTTTCACCATGTTGCCCAGGCTGGTCTTGAACTCCTGATCTCAGGTGATCTGCCTGCCTCGGCCCAGCATTTATTTTCCATATGAACCCTTCGCAACCAGGGTCTTGTAAGAGTGGTCTTTGGTTTGATCCCCATTCTGACATTTCGACATGTGGTGTCTCCACTGTTGTCAGAGAGTAAGTTAACGACAGTTTCTAAGCACATAATCATTATAAACTTGTCAGTTCTGTAAATGTGTCACAGCAACACTGACTCTTGTAAGAAAGGGTAAGTCGCCCTTGAGAGAAGGTAAATTCCACAGAAGGGGATGCAGAAAGGTAGGATCATTGCATAGCTCACTGGCAAAAGAAGTGCATCGGCTGCTGTCTCCTCCTCTACTCCCCTGGGATCTGAGTGTGGGCGTCAAATACAGGATGAACCCCCTCTCAACCCCCCTGCTCCTGCAAGAACAACAATCAAAGGCAATAAAATTCCAAGGCCACAGCTCCCCTCCAGCCTCTCCCACACCCCCACAATAAGCCTCGTGGTTTGCCACATCCTCCCGTGTCTCGGAGGCCTTGGTGCCAACTGCACTTTATGGAGGAGAAGGGGGTGGTAAATACAGGAGTAAAGCGCAGTTACTAGGTCTTGGCAATTTGGGTGTAATCTCTTTAAGTCATTCAAACAACTTGTTTTTAAAACACCCAATGTTTGCCTGGAAACCCAGTGTTTTGGGAGGCTGAGGCAGGAGGATTGCTTGAGGCCAGGAGTTTGAGACCAGCCTGCGCAACATCGTGGGACCCTATCTTGACAAAAATATTTTTAAAAAATGAAAAATTAGGCATGGTAATGTGCCTGTAGTCCTAGCTACTCTGGAGGCTAAGATGAGAGAATCCCTTGAGGCCAGGTATTCAAGGCTACAGGGAGCTATGACTATGCCACTGCACTCCAGCCTGCGTGACAGAGTGAGACCCTGTCTCTTAAAAACCAAACCAAACCAAAAACACAGTATTTACCCATGGAGTAATGTGATGGGTAAGGCAGATGTGGTCTGCCTTAGGAAAGGTCTAAGAAAGATATAAATAGTCCTGGCTCCACAGTGGAAATCCAACCCTGTTGAGGCGGGGGTACTTCCAGACCATTTCCAGACAATCATAGCAGGAAACGTTCACATAATGATGGCATCCTAAAGGACAATGCTATCACAAGAACAAACCACAGAAGTTCTCCAGGGGGGCCTGGAAGCCACGGCAGGCCTAGTCTCGGGTCTGCCACAAACCCAACATCTTGGCTTAGAGACTGTCTTGACCCTCAAATTCCAGCTCCAGGTCTCCAAGTCACCCAGCTTCCCTTGCCCTCTGACGAGGGCTGTCCTGGGGTGGCTGACTCACCGTCACCTCTTCTGGGTTCCCATGAGCTATTTCCACCACCCTTAGGGCAGGATCCACCTTCACCTTGGCGCGGGACATGAACTGGATGACAGATGAACTGTCCTGTGGAAGAAACAGCACAACTTACTCAAAGATTTTTCTATGATAATAGCTGGGCCTTGAGAGGGACTGGGCAGAACTGAAATTCCATGATTCCATGTAGCCCAGACAAAAATTTTATCATTGAACTAGATACCTCTCCATCCCAGGCACCCACATAAACACAGACTTCCAGGGTTTCTCTTGAGAATTCTTTGCAGCTCATGGTGGATGCTGGGAAATGATGGCGTTTGCTGGGAAATGATGGAGTAATCAACACATGCAAGCTGTGTGCTGTGGTTTCCAAGCAGTAAGAGTCAGATATTTGGATATTGCTATTGACATGTTCACAAAGAGTTGAGGATAAATAAAACTGCTTAATTGTGTACAGCAAATCGAGGCCTGGCATTCCACAAAAGGCATCTGATCTACATTTTATAGGCATCTTCCTGCCTTGACCACAACCCTCAAACCCTTCATATGAGTTGCTTTTAACTCTTTCTTTGCTCTTAAATGAAGTTGTTTGGGAATCAAAACCATTTAACATTGAAAGAGGGTGCCTGATGGAGAGATGGGGAAGGGGGAAATATCTGGCTTATAAATTAAGGAGAAAGGGGCAGGGGTATAAGGGAGCACATCTAAGACTCAGGAATCACCCCCCAGCCAGAGGCAGGCAGAGGCCTTCCTGTGGGCTCAGATTCAAAGCCACTGATCCAGATAACCAGAAAATGGCACCAAAGCAGGGATGGAGAATGAATTTGGAAGAAGACAGGGACTGGCAAAACTGTGGCCTGGTGAGGAGCCAGAACCTCAAGCCAGTGGGACAAGTTGATCGTGAAGCAGAAGGGAAGCCTGGCTTCTGTTGTGGAAACAGATAGCAGAGAACTAGTGCATTCAACATTCTACCTGCGGGGCAGCAGGGACTCCACAGGCAAGGTGTCTTGTGGTGTCCCCACCTACATCTACCCAGCTTGCCTGTCATGCAAGGAGCTCACACTCAGATGCCACCTTTGGCTAAACTCTCAAAGAACAGGAAGGTAGAGGACTCCACAGAAAACAGTTCCAAGGGTACCCTTTGCCCATCTCTGCCAATGAAACCACAAAGACCTTCCTGGGGCACAGAGGTACCCCAGTCTGTATATGTGACTTGGGAGTTATACATCAATTATCATTCTTTTCTTAAAACAACCATAAAACACATTTTAAATGCTTTTGGGAAGCTTGTCATTCAAAAGAGTTACTCCAGTTAACTCACTTTAAGCAAGCAATAATTTTAAGCAACATATAATCTTTTACCAATTTAACAGTTTTATAAAGGTGGGGGTTTTATGTGTCAGGATATGCTGTATTTTCAATTTGGAATAATAATAATAATAATCTTGGGCCAGACACGATGGTTAAGGCCTGTAACCCCAGCACTTTGAGAGGCTGAAGTGGGAGGATCACTTGAGGCTAGGAGGTCAAGATCAGCCTGGGGAATATCCTATCTCTACCAAAAATTTTTTAAAAAATTAATCTGGTATGGTAGCATGTACCTGCAGTCCTAGCTGAGGATTAGCTGAGGCAGGAAGACCACCTGAGCCCAGGAGTTTGAGGCTGCAGTGAGCTATGATTGCACCACTGTACTCCCATCTGGGTGACAGAGCGAGATCCCATCTCTAAAAATATTTTTTTAATAAAAAAATTAAATAAAAATAACCTTGGATGTTAATAACGATGATGATGATGATGATGATGATGATGATAACTGCCAATGTTACAGGCCAAGCAGACAAGGAGTCTGGCACAGGATGGGCCCCCACGGTTGTAGAATCAGTGAAAAAAGCTTTACGGACTG